TAGGGATATAGATATGGTATTCATTGACAAAAAACCTAAACAAACTTACCTTACTGACATAGCGGTACCACTATCAAGAAACTTACAAAGAAAACATCAAGAAAAAGTTAACAAATACTTACCATTAGCCAACGAAATCAAAGAAATGTGGGATCAAGGCAGCGTAATCATAATTCCAATCATCCTCAGAGCCACACTGGTAAAGTCCCGCACGCCACATTGAGAAGCCTAGTAGACCTGAAAATAAGAGAAGCTACAATCAACATCATGCAAAAAATCGTTCTGATAGAAATTACGAACGATCTCTCTGCAGACTGACTCAAAGTCCAACCACCTTTTTGTCCTTGTGCGAGAGCACCGGGAAAAAGTTGAAATCCAGAAAAGTCCTGTGGAAAACATAATAGTAATAATAATAATAATCATAATAATAATGATCATCGTTTTGCTATTAAAGAACAACTCCAGTATTATATTAATATTTTATTTATCATTTTAATAAACAATCTGTACCAACGCCTGTGTCACATTATTTTTATTGATCAAATTAAGGAATCTAATTTAGGAATAATTCGGGGTGTGTAGGTCTTAAAAGCCAAAATATAGCAAGTTATAATTGTTATTTATCTGAACTTTGCGATATAAACTTTAGTGGTCCCCGTCACGTTACATTCAAAATGGAGAGGATGAGGGAAAAGGTTGGGAAAGGAAGTGGGTGTGATCTTGAAATGAAGCAAAACTTCGGTTTTGCTTCATTACACAATTAAATTCGAACAAAAAATATAGTGCCTTTATCAAACACAAAATATGACAATATTTCGACATCTATAGTAATAGATTTTTAATTACCAAAATAAATAAGAACTAAAAGTTCAGATTTTCACGAAATTATATATTTTGACACGACAATTGTTTGGACAACACCGTGTCTTTATGAAATGTAATATTTACAAACTACCTGCTACTATATATACCAAAAAATGACCATAAAACCTTAATTAATGTTGTTGCGAGAATTTAAGTTCAGTAAAGGAGAGGTATTTAAATCTAATTGATCGTTCAGCAATACATTTGAATGTCTCATTTTGTTAATCGCCATGGCTTCCAATAAATTTAATTTTCTACTTTTTGTGGCTGTATGTAATATATCAAAATTGTCGTCAAAAATGTGTTTTTCTGTGTTTAAGTGTGTAGCATAATTAGAATCTAGACTATTGTTTACAAAAGCTCTTATATGTTCGGTAATGCGTTTCTTGAAGGATCTACTTGTTTGTCCAATATAAATTTTAGGACAAGATCCACATTTCAACCTGTAGACACCCGATTTTTGGGATTTTGTTTTGTTAGTTCTAAAAGCTATTTTTAAACCACATTTTGACAAATGTTTTGAAACTTTTTCACTAGGTTCTCCTATGTATGTAATTGTTTTAAATTGTTCGTGTTCTGTATTAGGTTTCGTATAAATAGAGTTTACTGTTGTCTGTATTTGTTTTTTGATTATAATTGTATCTATAATGGACGGATTGTAGCCGTTGTTCAGTGCAATTTGTTTAATGATATTAAGTTCTTTGTTGTAATTTTCTATTGAGAGTGGCGTATTAAGAAGTCTGTGTATAAAAGAGTTAAATGCAGCCATTTTGTGTGTATAATGTGTATAAGTGTGATTTGAGCTGTTATATATTACTGTGTCCGTGTGTGAAGGTTTATGATATATTGAAAAATCTAATTTGTTTTGCACTTTTGTAATAGTTAAGTCTAAAAAATTAATAGAGTTATCCTGTTCAATCTCGATAGTGAATTTTATACGATTATGTATTGAGTTAATGTAAATTAAAAAAGAATTCAATTGCCTGTCCGTTCCAACAAAGCAAGCAAAGACATCATCCACATATCATATTTTCATAAGGGAATTTGCACCACCATATTCTTTGCACCTTCCTCACGTGTCCCAACCGCTTTTTTAAGTCGATGCCCCGCTATAAAAAACGGCTTAAGAACCACTCGCAATAAAAATATCTGGAACGGTGTTAAAGATGCTCGACCGCTAATTCTAAGATTCGGATGTACAAAACGCGTTTTATTTTTAGCCGGAACAAAATCTAAAATAAATGCGTACTCCAAAACCTAAAGTAAATGCCCCAGAAATGCGGACCGTCAGGCGAATATTTACTACGCCGATGGCCCGTCGACGTTAAAGACTGGCGTCTAGGAAAACGAGCAGAAAATGATATATTTAGGTCTCTTAAAATGCGACATCGCGAAATAAGTTTGACGCCAAATTTTCGACAAATATTTTAAAAAACTCCAGTGATTTTCAGTTCGAATTACATGTTATTGACTGTCGATATAGGCCGCTACTAAATTTAAAAGTAATGGGTATGTTCCTCGACCAATTTTAAGTGGGCAAGTTCATATCCTGGGTGCTCGAAAAATAAAAACGAGATGTCTTGTATATATTTGTTAAAAATATTTAATATTCTTTATATACTGGGTTACTATTTCTGGGTTAGATTTTCAAGGTTTTATGCAAAAAGCTCAGATTTTGGAATATTTGTTAGCATGAATTCTACCGCATTCCAAGATAAAATTCAATGATAGCTCTTGTGGCGAGTTTGATAGGACGTAAAGTTAATTCTATCCTCCCACTTTCAATGTCAACGCTAATAATTTTATGACACATTTTGAAGAACTAGCTATTGATAGGTACCATCTAAAACCGAAACTCTGAATGAGATATTATTATTATTATAAGAATTTAATCATGACAAATTAAAAAAAAAAGGGTAACAGGTCCAGTATCACCTAGAGAGCATTTAAAACCTTGTTTTACAAAGAAAACAAAAAAAATAAACGTTCATGTACAGGGTGAGTCAACGATGGAGTAAAGTTCACTATCTCGTGGTTTTCAAAAGTTATGAGAAAATAATAAATACCAAAGTTCTAAAGATTGCTAGGGTACACAATTTGAAAAAACACGGCGAATAAAAATAGATTTTTTTTAAAATTTTATTTTGAAATCCAAATTGACATTCTTCAGCTTTTTTATTAACATTGCATATTCCTAAACCTAATTGTTTTTCCAATATTTTAATTTTTATAAAAAAAATCCACTCATATTTGATATTAGCGTTATTAGAGGATGACGTAAAATATATCTGCAACGAAATTTGAATTAGATGCTACGCTTAGTGGCACAAATTGTTATTATTTTTTAAAAGATCCTACAGAAACCTACAACTTTTATCAAGTATGTCATGTACCTATTTTTCGATGAAAATAGCGACCAAATTTTAAATTCACAGAAAAGGTAAATAATAATAATTACCTAAAACTACTTGTGGTGTTATAGGGGAATTCACATAAAAACCATCTTAACTTTTTTTTTTCAAAGAAACTTCCACAGAGTACTGTAATACTATTTGAGGGAGGCGGAGCTAAAGGAGGGGTCTGAACATTGTCTCGGATGACTGATGGTGAAAGGTAAAGACATGAGTTGCTTTTAAGATTGTTTTGTTGCTTATAAATTTCTATAGATCTATAGGCCTCTAGATTTCTATAGATCTATACGGACATAGATTTCTATAGATTTATACGAAACCACCGTTATAAGGGTGCAGACGTGCACCTTTTATTCAAAATCACGGTCTTGAAGTTCTTGGTGTAGTTCCATGTGTTTTCTAATGGTGCGGTTAAGGTAGATTGGGAAGTATCACATTTATCACAGTTATCCTTGAACTTGAAGCAGAATTTCTAGTTGTTTTCCCTCATTGGTAGCCTTTCGGTTATAAATTTATTTACTCACTTAAACAGCAAGAATGGCCAATACTGGAAAAATCAGAAATAAATCGTAAATTCTTAAAAATAAGTATATGACATGATAAAAGTTCTAAGTTTTCGTAAGATCTTGTCCTGATTTATATTAATATTTTGATTATTATTAATATTAATATTATTATTAGTATTACTGTTATTATTAATATTATTATTAATGTATCAATAGGCGAAATATCAACCAAAGAGCTCTGAAAACGTGAACTTTTTTATACAATGCAAACAAAATATCAAACACTCATGTATATCATTCTAAACATATCATAAGTCAAATCAAAACTAAATATTTTTAACCTGTTTTTGTAAGTAATTAGGGACAAGCCGTTTAAAAAATATATTTTTGATCAATTTAGGAGTTTTATATGAGTAAGATGTTTGTTGTTTGTTATGTCGACGTAAAAATAGCATAGTATTGGTTCTATTTAGCTCCCTAAAAAATACAACGTTTTTAGATAAATAAGACCACTGATTGGTTTTTAATGTCTAAGTGAGATGCGGGGTGAAGGCATTTCAAAGATTTAAGCTATAGACATTTCGGCTTGCGTATATATCCTGCTATATTTTATAATATCGTATGTTGATGTGTGTTGATGTAGATGATATTTTTGTATGTACCTGAAAGTTCCTCGGCTTGCCAAAAATGAATTTTTATTTTATTCTTATTTAGATACAGGATGTTAAATAAAAAAAAACCATTTTGTAAAAATATCTAAGCAAATATTCAATCGATTCTGTTGAAATTTATTATTTGTAATAACCATTTCTCATCTTTTCGCAAGCATTTACGATATTATGTCTTAATTTTTCTATTGTTCAATGGGAAGTAGCCTAAACCGTGGTCTTAGTAGATAAAAATATACTGGATTTAAGCCGGGTGAGCGAGGTGCCAGTAAACTGGTTCACTTTCTCCCATTCAATTTCCACCATAGGTGTTATTGAGATACGTTGTGACAGTGTCTATTGATTTCTAATGTATTTTGATGATTGTAGAATGAAACATGGTCTAAAGTGTAAGGTCATTAGATTTTCTACGTTGCATTCCAAACTAAATTATACTATGGCTTATTTATGACATGCTTATTGTCAACTTCAATTAAAATTAAGAAATACCTGAAATAAAATAACTGTTGCGAAAAGAAACTAATTAATAACAATTGCATTTTTTGTGCCAGGTCGCGGTACATGCGAGGACTTCCGCAGTTCTGAAGATGAAAATCTTCATCTAAGCTACATTCCACATTCAAAGGTTAGTAAAACGATGCATGCATTTTCTCAACTGTAGTTCAATATTGGGCAGCCATTATTAAATTTGCAGCACTAGAGAGTCCCCTACGCTGTTTTTCAAAGTAAAAAAAAAAAAGTAATTAATGTTAAAAAAAAACTGGAATTGGAAAGAAAATTGGTCATAATTTATAAACTATCAATTTTTGTATTAAAAGCTATATATATGAAATCACACAGAAGTAAATCCCAAACCCAATAAAAGTGCTAAGTGCAGTTCCATTAAAAAAAATAGTTTTTTTAATTAGAAATAAAAAAATTTTGATGGTCATTTGAGACCATCCTGTATAATATATTTTCAATGTAGACGGGTCATAGCATTAAATAATAACTTTAATTGATCACCCTGTATGCAACTGAGAAAGTTGAAAACAACTATTGTATACAAACTTTTTTTTATAACAGTCTTAGATTTCTAGATAAGTTATGAGCCCGGTCAACCTGTACATATTTTATAAAGATTATTAAATGTATTAATCATTTATTTAAATACAAGAATGATACCATAGAAATTGGTTTCCACTAACAATTTCACACATAACAATTATTCACCATCCTATTAGTTATCATATTCCAAACCTTAGAAATATCGTACAAAAAGCAGCCATCACCACCATCGGACTCCCTGGGCCAAAATGAAAGATATAATGCAACCGAGGAGTAGCTTCAAGAAAAAGCACAGGCTGTCAGCTGCAAGCGACGACATCCAAATCGACGTCGAGCTTTGCAGCGACAACGAAGACGTCTTCGAAGAAGATGCTACCAACAAAAGTACGTGGCTTTTGTTTTTGTGGCAATCTCGATTGATCGATGCATTTTAGGTATTCAAATGTCCTTAACACCATCTCCGAACGTTTACAGCTGCTCTAGCTCGAGCCCCTGCGATGTACCGGCAGAGGTCGTCGAAAGGTATCAAAAAGTTTTAGCTGAAGATAGTGCCGTAAGTAGAATTATAAATATATGGATAGTAAGAATGAAAACCAAAATTTCTGAATTTTTTTTTAAAAAATATTGAAAAAAAATTGCAAGTCTATTGCTTTTATGGTCTATGGCTCCACATTTCTCCACAGCCTTAAGCAGTGTTTTTCGTAGTTGCGAGTACTAATAGCTCTGTCCCGGATGTCCATGAGAGATATCTCAATTGTCTGGAGTTCTAGACTTCTTGAAAACTTACCACCAGATGGCATGATCTTCCTGACTTGATCTTATTTCGAACCCAAGATCATGATGTTGCCAGTTCAATGGTGTATAGCTTCGGGCTTGTTGAGCTCTATTCTCATGGTGAAATCTTGAGATATAAGTAGTTGTTGCCGCATGTTGTTCTCCTGCACAGCCACCACCGAGAAAGGAAGAGTCTCTTAACCCATGTATTGTGCAGATGTCTGAATTCGTCAAGTTTATTTAGATCTGCATCAAAGGTATAGCTTAGGACAGTTACTGCCCAGGTAATTAAAGCGGTGATCTGGTTCTTTGTTGAGAGCCTGGAGTGTTTTTTATTTTTGAAATGTCATTATATGTCTTTAACTAATTTTAAGTTAGTTGATGACGTACGTTCCAAGCATACAAGACAGAGCGCTAAGCGCCTGTTCCCTACGCATATTCCCAGACGACTTCGAGGTCGCTTGATTATTTGGGTGTTCGTATTTTTAATAATCTGCAATCTGCAATCTGATTTATGTAAAAAACGATTAAAAATATTTTTGTTATAAAAACCATTTTATAGCCTAGACAAATTTTTGAGTAAATGTGTCCATTCTACCTATTATGTATTTTCGCTATCCCTATATAATTTTGTAGTTGTCTTAGGGAAAATGAATCTTATTATTATTATTTTTATTATTATTATTAATGTACATCATAGTTTTATATTTCTGTAATCTCGTTGGTTGTTATTTATGGTGTGTTCGCTTCAATTAAATCATTATCTGCTCCATATGGATCTGCAAGATATTGTAGCCAAGTTTCTTTAGTATTTCATTTGTTTCGATAAGTTCTTTCACTTTTATTCGTTGGTTACTGGTTAGTCGCCGCATTTGTTTTTCGAGCAGGTAATTATCATTTTCGATCTTTTTTGAAAAGTATTTCCAGTACCTTGGTTTTATTTGTCTAACAAGTTGCTATATTTTGATACCAGTTACCAGTTGGTGACCTATATTTTAAGTACGCTATCTTCTTCTCGTTGCATTTTTCCTCATCTTCTAATTCTTTCTCCCGGTACAGTTGTTGTATTAATGGGACCTACAACGACTGAATGTTTATTTTTTCCCATTTTTTGGTATTGGGTTTTTGCCTTTTTGGGGTGTAATTTTAATTCTTATCTTTCACAGTAACAGACTATGATCGCTATCTACATCAGCCGAGTTTATTGTTCTGACGTAGTTCATTCATCATCCATCACCATTCAGTACTGTTATCATAAATAAATGTTTAACCCCTGGGATTATTTCGTTACCAACTCGAGCATTAAAGTCACCCAGAATTATCATTTGTCCTTAGTTTAACGGATACACGTCGTGGTGATGAATATGAGCATTCTAGCAGCGGCATATTTTTTATCTATTTTTATTTTGCTCTCTCATGTCTTTCTACCCCGCTATATATCAGTGTGTGGTCTTGATATTGTTTTTGTCCTTTCCCCTCGATTCTTGTTTCTAAGAGGGCGGCATTCATATCTATCAATACTGCGATTCTCTCGTGGGGCCAGGGTTTCCTGAGCTTTGCTGTAGCACCACTTTATATTCCATTCTAGCTCTATATCCTTTTCTTGTCATCTTTGTATCCATCTTGTTCCGAGGCAAGGTTTCGGATCTGTGAGCATGCGAAGTTTTCACTGCTGCCTTGCCAGAAATCTCTCATCCTGCAACACTACCACTAGCTACTCAGTCCACGCAGTTCTGCAATCTTTCAATGAGATCACTGTGAAATTTTACAAAACTTAGCAATAGAGGGGCAAGTCGTCGTTGTTGCAGGATACTGATAAATTGGAAGAATTATGGAACTCGCGCCTGCCGATATTCTTCTTTTGTAAGAGCAGCTTGGCTACGAAAGCAGCGACGACATTTTTTGTTTTTATTAAGTTCAAGTCATCGCCTTGCAGTTGGACATTTATATTATTGTGCCACGTCAGGTATGCGATATCATTCTTTGATGCGATGAGGTTTTTGCGCAATTCTGTGTCTTTGTTTTTCAAACATGTCTAAAAACGAGACACACAATTTCCTTTTGATAGCCGACGAACTTCAGTGTGAAAGATCCATTTTTTGAAATCTTCATCAATAGCAAAACAAAGCTGTCATTTATAGAGTTGATTCGGAATTTATGGACTGCTCTGATGACATGTTGTAATGATTGAAATAGTCATTCACTTAAATTTCTAGCAACTGAATGCTGTCGATGTATAACGCGACGTATAGCAAGCACATCAGGAATTTTGTTTTTTAAGTGCGATATGAAGCCTTTTTGACGCCTCGTCATAGCTGAAGCAACATCTGTAGCTGCGGTTTCTCCCTTTGCGTCTGTCTCTAAATTTCTAGCAAATAAAAGTTCTCCTGCCAACTCGACTTGTCGATGCTTCTGGGAGCCTTGGGTGTTATTGCGTTTGTCCGACTTTAGAGATTTGCAAAAATTTCCTAATTTACACATTGAAATATGAAAAAAACCTGGGAAATATAGAAAAAACCCAAGTGACGTGAGTCCATTAAATCAGGTAAAAAAAAGTTCTTGACATATTTTTTCATCTTTAATAAACCTCACGTAAAACAACAACAACGCTTCATTACTTGAAAAAGTGGACTTATCCAACTGAATCAGATCATTGCATATTGACTCTTCAATGTGTTCAGTCATTTTATCAATTCGTCTTTGCACAGAACTATGTTTTTGAACAAAGAAGGCACAAAGGCAAAGATGGGTTTGTCGAATTTTCCATGAATCTATATTTAATATATTCTGCACTGAATTGCCATTACTTTTTTTGCTCCACAAAAAATTGTTGTTTAAAGATAACTTTTATTTAGGATTTAAATACATCAAGCACGGACATGAATAAGACTAACATCCACAAATTCGTTTATTTCTATCGAGGCTCAATGGTACTGAACAAGTTAGGACAAGTATCGATGAACCAGCCGATAGCTACCGGATTGCAGCAATATGTATAATTATAATATATATAATAATATTTATTTAACAGAAAATTGATATGACTTGATTGCGTACAGGGTAGAAGTATAATCTAATTATCTAATTATTCGTTGTTGTAAAGTAGGTAGGTTTTAATTTTAGTATAAAGTAAATGAATTTACAAATCTGTCACCGCCTCCCTAACCCACGTCAACGCCCCAATTTTTTTCCGGGCTCCTTAACGTCCCCTCTCGCCTTTGAGACGACTCAAAAGGGGGCGTTATCGCTCAGTCTGGGTTTATACTGAGTAATTCCATGAAGTACCTGTTTTTGGTCCCCTTGTAATGTAACTAATAAACACATGCCGTCTCGAGAAAGAGCCGAGCAGGGTTTCCCTATTATTTAAAAAGATATGTGTTTTGTACAGAAGAGACAAAAATGCATTTTATATTCTTGCATTGCTTTTTAATTATTTTTATTAGTAATCTCTTTCAGTCTGATTCAGAACGAAGACCATCCCGGTGGTCAAGAGTACGTAAAGCTTTCCTTTCCCACGACGCTGCGGGTCCAAGACCGTCTCGACAAACCAAAGACAAGCCAGAAGATGACTCGGTGGAGGAGGAGATCAGGAAGAACTACCGCAACCTTCAAAAGAAGCTCAGTCTGGAATTTCAGGAGAAACTGTTCGAGTGGGAGCGCATGAAGCAAAACTCGCCAGGGGTTTCGAATATCTCCCCCTCCTATTCGTGTTACTCGGACGAAAACAGGGACCCGTTCTTCATAAAGAAAATGGAGGAGTGGCAGAAATTGAAAAATCAATCTCCCACGAATAAGCACAAACCCGCGGCGATGACCAGAGAATACGAGCTCCCTCCCGAGTTCAAGAAGAAGCTCGAAGAATGGGAGAAGATCAAAAGGAGTTCCGGAGGTGGCAAGAAGAAACTGGGCGACATGCCGAAATGGAAAAGTGTGGGGGGTCACAGATCTGACGCCGCCCCCGCGTTCGAATACCCCCCGTTATCGGACGAGTTTAGGAAGAAGCTGGAGGAGTGGAAACAAATCAAAGCTGGGGGCGGGCCGACCGTGGAGCAAAAGAAGCTGAAAGACAAAACGCCGAGTCCCAAGTTGAGCAGAAAGAACTCGTCTCCGAAGCATAACAAGAAACACAAAGAGAACGACAAGGAGTTGCATTGGGTCGAGAAGGAGTTGACGAAAATCGAAAAAGAAAAGCAGCGATTGGAACGGGAGAAGCAGAAGTTCATCGAGCGGGAGGAAAGACTCTCCAAGCTACGAAAGTCTGTCCTGGGAACTAACAAAAAGGAAATCCTTATACACACCCCAACCGGATTCCATAGGTTCGAGGGTATATCCAGGAAATTCACTCAGAAATTGTACGAGTGGGAAAAATCTCAAGGCATCGGTCCAGAAGATTCGACGTTTGCTCTTCTATCGTCTTGTCGTCACGAAGCTGGCAGCAGCAAGCGATTCAGCACGGGTAATAGCGATGAAGCCCTTTTCTACCACCTTTCTAAGAATCGTCATTTGTAACAGCTAGTACTCCCCCTTTACATCGGTCGAAATCCGCCGATAGCATAGTGATATCAGCACTGAATCTGGCTTGTCCGCTGATGTCACCGCAACCGTCTTCTCTGTCGCTCAACGATATGGATGAATTGGAAAAGGAGTGCATGGTTGCCTCCAAAACTTCATCTCTAGGATACTTGATGGACAGCAAGGATAACATGGACTTTATCGACGAACCTGAGGCGGTGCTGGTGGAGGTAGAAGACTACGAAGAGGAAACTGCCGAGCCTCTGCACATGTACCTCGAGAGGCATCAATTGCCCGTATATCAGCGACAGGAATTCAAACCGCTATGGTTAGAGCTTTTATTAAATAAAATAATAAAATTTGCAGTATTAAAATCAAACAAAAATAACGAAAATGTTATAAAATTTTACCAATTTAAGCAAGGTGTAATTTCTGAATCTTCAACTTCAAAATGATAACCGCTAGATATAGCTTCGAGAATAATGGTAGAACAAAGAATAATTGCTTCAAAATAAATAAGAATTAAAAGTTCAGATTTTCGCGAAATTATATATTATGACATGACAATTGTTTCGACAACACCGTGTATTTATCAAATGTCGTTTTGATAAAGACATGGTGTTGTCGAACCAATTGTCATGTCATAATATATAATTTCGTGAAAATCTGAACTTTTAGTTCTTATTTATTTTGATAAATGGATTTTCATCAAGTAAAAGCCACCTCAGTTCAATTGAATAATTGCTTCATTAACCCCAGTGATTTTGCTAGCTTGCTCAACAAACCTGTGAGAGGTGTTACCGATAATGGTATTCCCATACCCTTGATTTACAACATCAACTAAAAGACTTAAGGGAATATGTAATTAAGTTTTTTTCTTTCTTCAAATGTAGTTTTTTTGTCAATTTTGCCCCAAACTTTTCTATGTATAGGCTGTATGATAGATGTCGAATGCATTTAAAAAAATGTGTGCATGTGTTGAAGCAGTTGTTTTAAAAATTGTTAATTTCTTTCAGATTAGCTTCACAGAATTTTTCACTCAATTTTGTGGTCATGAGATGTGAATAACTTCAATGGTGCTTCTATCTTCGTCTATATCTTTACGAAATCCAAAAAGCATGGGTCTATAAAATCTTGTTGGTGAGCGCCTCAGGTTTTGCCCGGTACGACCACCTTTCGGTCGTTATTTTATTTTTTTAAGTGCAGCTTTAAAGGTATACAGTATCCCATGCATATCTAGTATAGAATACATGATGAAACTAATTTTTTTGCATTTAATTAATTTTTCTAGCAAACAAACAATCAGAAAACCTATTAGAAATCTATACCCAACCAAAAAATCTTTATTTTTCAAAAATATGATTTCTGGCATATGACCGCAACGGTTGGCGCGGATATAATCCAATCTGGACGTCCAATTTTCGATGACTTTTTCCACCATTTGTGGCCGTATATCGGCAATAACAAGGCGAATGTTGTCTTCCAAATGGTCAAGAGTTTGCGGCTTATCCGCATAGATCAATGACTTTACATAGCCCCACAGAAAGTAGTCTAGCGGTGTTAAATCACAAGATTTTGAAGGCCAATTCACAGGTCCAAAACGTGAAATTAGGCGGTCACCAAACGTGTCTTTCAATAAATCGATTGTGGCACGAGCTGTGTGACATGTTGCGCTGTCTTGGTTATCTTGGTTGCGGCCATCATGGTTATTCAATTCAGGAATGAAAGAGTAATCATAGCTTTATACCTATCACCATTGACTGTAACGTTCTGGCCATCATCATTTTTGAAGAAGTACGGACCAATGATTCCACCAGCCTATAAAACGCACAAAACAGTCAGTTTTTCTGGATGTAACGGTGTTTCGACATACACTTGAGGATTAGCTTCGCTCCAAATGCGGCAGTTTTGTTTGTTGACATAGCCATTCAACCAGAAGTGCGCTTCATCGCTAAACAAAATTCGCTTATGAAAATCGGGAACAACGGCAATCTCGTTTTGGGCACATTCGACGAATCTAAGCCTTACTTGATGATCGTTTGGCTTCAATTCTTGCACGAGTTGGATTTTGTAAGCACGTAAACCAAGATCCTTCCGCAAAATCTTACACAAAGTTGATGGACACAGATCCAATTCCTGTGCTCGATGGCAGATGGACTCATTTGGGTTTTCCTCAATGCTACGCTCTACAGCAGCAATAGCTTCTTCTGTACGCCCGTATGGCGTCTCTGGGGAGGCCAGTTATCAATAAGAGTAAACGTGGTGCGAAAACGCTCCATGGTTAATCGAATTAACTGCTCTGATGGACGATTTTGTCGACGATAAAATTCCGCACAGAACCATTATTTTCGAAATAAAATTGCACTATTTGCAAGCGTTGTTCAGGCGTGAGTCTATTCATGATGAATTGCCAAAAGAAACTGAGAATAAATCACTTGACAGCTGTTAAATCGGTCGCCATCTTGAACAGTAATGCCAACTTAAATTTCTATACATCGAAAAAAAAACACCCATTATAATCAAGTACAGAGTAGAATGGGATGCAGTTTCAGTTAATCTCTGAAGAAGCAAACAGGATGATTGGCGAAACGTCAGCAGAAATGGCGCAACAGGAGTCCAGAAATCTTGTAAATAGTATTACAGTAGCCTTTGGAAGTTTCTTTGGAAAATTAAAAATATTGATATAGTGTTCATTGTTTTTTGCTATTGCCATGGTAGAGAAGGCCGCTGTAGTTTTTGACGGACCATATGAAAAATAAAGTTGAATGATGATTTCGAGGAAACAAAACGTCTAACTTAAAATCTCTCAATGCTATCTTGTAGAGTACAAAAAGCGGCAATGAGAAAGTAACCTTTATTTTTTTATATCTCTTTACGTAACACCAAAAAATAAAAATAAAAACCAAATCGGCAAGTTTCGTTTTTTTTTTGGCATATCTGCGGAAGTGAGGGGAATTTTCTAGGTTTTTCTAGTAAGTTTTTCATTTCTAAATTTTTGAACTTTTTTCTAATTTTACCATCTTTCTTTCTCTTACGGTATCGGTACCTTCGACACACCAACTAAATACGTAATAAACTAATTCTGAAACTTGCCTTAATGACAAAATGTTACAGTGAAGGAGAAACTGTAGCTGCTCCGAAAATTCGGCGCTCTGAATCTGCCAGGGCTCAGGTCAACTATGACTTGATAGAAACGATTCTGCAACTACTCGCTGACGTCAGCAGAAGCGATGAGGAAATAAGGTGAGTCTCGGCAGTCCCGTGTTTTACACTTATGTTGACGCCATTTTAGATTGCTACTGAAGAGCGCTAAGCGTACTGTGGAAATCGAAAATAAAATTAAGGTAATTTACAACGAATGTCATTATGGGGCTAACTTTACTATTATTCCCAAGATGTTAACTGACGGGCAGATCCAGCTGGTAAAGAAAATGCCGGAGAAGATCGTACAGCTGCAAGAAGCAAATAACGTCGTCGCTACGAACATCGTCACCGAGGGAGTGGAGTCTGCCGGAAACATTCAAGACATCCTCGGAGTCGTCCAAGACATATCGAGCGAGATCCTCCATTTGGTAAGAACTCTTCGAAGTAACAATTGTGATTTGTTTATTGGTCACTTTGTCAGTGCGTACGACTCCACACACAGCAAATATTTCCTGAATGTGTGAATGTATTTTCGACTTGATATCTCATTTTCCACAGGTCCAGATAATTCTAAAAAGTTCATTTTGATATTTTAAGACCTTGCATAATTTTCTTCAATCTATCTAGACGAAAAGAAAGTTACCTCTCACCCAAATTTGGAGATTAGAAAACTGTAGATACCTGTCTTGGTATTAACAAAAAATCAGCAATACCTAAATTGTTTGAAAAGCTCACCTATAATCAATTAAAACGAAAATGGAAAGGGCTATTCTGAAGAAGTCACCCAATCAAAAATCAGGAGATAAGAAAACTATAAAATCTGTCTTGGTATTTACAAAAAATCAGCTATACCTAAAGCGTATAGCCAAAAGGCTATAATGATCCGAGCAGTTGTACTTGGCACATGCAAAGTTGTTTCAATCCACACTGATTTTTTCGAGGCTTTCGATACAGTCAGTTTCGATTTTCTGATTCAAAAATTGACTGATTAAAAAGATGTTAAGGTAGAAGTTTTTCAAAGGGTAAAAGTAAATCTGTTTAACTTTCTTCCAGAAACGTATGAGGTTTTATAAAGACTACCACATTGTTCACCCTCAATGGTATAAGCGATACCCTCGAATCCAGTTTGACTCATTGCATTTGCTCTGAACTGGAGTAAAACTGTAAAAACCTATCTTGGAGTCTACAAAAAATTAGATATGAATTAAATTGTTTGATAAGTTTGATAATCAAATAAATTAGCAATGCGAAACGTTATAATGAACAGAATAATTGCAGCTGGGACATTCACAATTACTAATATTGTGAAATGAACTTGTTAAAAAACAAAAGGTGTTTGTCCACTCTGACTTTTTCAAAGCTTTCGACAAAGCCAGATTTGATCTTCTGCTTGCAAATATAAACGGTTTGGGATTTGCCAAAAGACATTAGAAAGCAAGTTTTTTGAAAGGGTAAAAATGAATCTGTTTAACTTTCTCTGAGAAAAAAAATACTCGATTCCTTCAGGAGTACTACATTGTTAACTTCACTACTTCATCTCTTTAAAAATGATACAGTTTGACAGTCTGGCTTTTTGCTGATGCTCTGCAGTTATTTAGATGTAGGCCTTCTGGCATATTAGTAATGCAGATAGATATCAATATACTGCACTAACCAAAACTAGAGTCCGAGACCGAAAGAAAGTTACCTATCGCTATAAAAACCTATCTTACAACAGCTGACACATTGTTAATTACCAATTCTCTAGTTTTGTTGAAAAAATCCACACTAATTTCTTCAAGGTTTTCGACAGAGTCAGCTTCGATCATCTGATTGTAAAATTGTACGATTTAGAATTTACCGAAAAGACGTTAGAATGTGTCTAAAGTTTTTGGCCAGGTCACTCACAATGGATACCGATAGACTCCCAAGGCAGTGTTTCGATCGCCAATTGAAGTTAGTAGACGGTAGGGGCTATAAATCTAATTGGATTGATGACTTGTGAAATTTTCACCACACGATGTTCTACAAAAGTTTAACTGTTACCGAAATACTATAACTAACAATGAGGATTCTAGCTTAACTTAGACTAACGAATAATCACTTCACAAAATGAACCCATACCATACTGAACTTTACTGAACTTTTCACGAAAATGAAACTCTATTCCACGTATAATCTTAAAGTTGTGTGCAAGGTTGATGTCCAAGTAAGTTAGGTCGCTTCTTATTTTTAACGGTTTTTTTTCATTTGGTGTTCTGTTAAAATCAACCGTAGTGTTAAGTACACATTATCCTTCAGAGATCTTTGATATAGAAATACTTGTATTTCCTTATAACAATAAATAAATTGATTAATTTGATTGATATATAGCAAACTGTAGGCCTGTTGTCTACCTATCTGTTTATTAATGAGTTGTAATGTGGTGGAACCTTCTAGGTAGAGCAGCTGGAGGCGAATCTGTCGCAAGGGACCAAGATGGGCTCTATCTGCGAACTGTGCAAAGAGGTGCGCTCTAAAATCTCGGACCTCAAACGACACTTGAGTTACGTATGCGCAGCCAGCGATTCGGCCTCCCCCAAGACGAAACAACCTCCTAACAAGCTCCAAGTGCACAAGTCGATCTCTAACGAGTCCGGCGACTCCAGAGGCGCCGCCACCAGCGACAATTCCAGGTCGAACAGTCAGAAGGAGAAAAAGTTCATCAAATGGGACAATGGCGGTGGCGCCACCAGCGGCCAAGGGGCCGTGAAGAAGCGTATCAGGTCGAGGCAGAAGAGCGCCCAGAAGCCCCTAGCGGATTCAGATGAGGACGAAGACGAGGAAGCTAATAAGAAAACCGCCACCGTAAGGCAACATAAAAAGCTAACGAGAACGCGATCCATATCGGAAAGTAGCTTGCCCAACTTTGACCCGAACCTTCTGATGCCCACCAAGCCGAACGTCGAGAGCACGACGTCCGACTCCAGGGTCGACTCGTCACCGTCCGATTCGCCGGTAACTGTGTTTGTAAAGACGACCAGGAAGCTGTTCGTTCCGATTGTCGAAAGCGGCCTGTGCAAGCCGGAATCTCCGACCAGTTCCTCGAAAGTTGGAGCATTGCTACCACCTCTTCCGGCATCGCCGGTGCCCCAACGGAAGGTCTACAAAGATCTATCTCCCGGCATACGCCTGATGATATCCAAATACAATCAAAAGCTATCGGAAACCGAATCGGGTGCGAAGTCGGGAGGTTCTAGCGGCTCTAATTCGCCAGTGGCGTGGAGGTCGCCGGTGCTGGAGAGGAGGGTGAGGGCGCAGACTGAGAAGTACCAGGAGGAGCTGAAAAAAATGTCCACGGCGTTAGGTAGTCGAATGTGGTCTCATGGGGTGTTGGAAATGGCGCGATGTGTTGCAGGAGAACGGAAGGAGGTGCAGAAATCAGTCAGCGCTAGCGTGCTGCCGACGGAACCTACAGTCGTGCCTCCAAGGAAAACGTCCCTAAATAGCTGCGTGTTACCTGCCCCTAAACCCTTAACATTGGACATTGCTCTAGCCAATCAACTGAAAGACGATATCACAGGCTTTTCTCCGGAGGTGAGGATGAGGAAGATACAGAGGGCCAAGGAGGAGTTTTTAAGGTCAGGGCCAGTCTCTGCGCCTTCCGAAATAGCCGAAGAGTCGCTACAGTTTCCCGAACGGAACAGGCTCAGTCAGATCAGCGTCGGCAGCGGATCGAGCTGCGATAACTGCTACGCGGGAGCGCTGATAAAGTCAGCGTCCGCCGGAATGATCAACGTGGACGTCGAAGCGTTCAAGAGGGTCGATCCAGAATATCACTCGGGTAGGTAGTAGTAGTAGCTAATAGGTAGTCGACACACGATAAATGGTATTTTTGAAGGTCGTAGACAATGATTCAGTAGAAATGCTAAGAGATCACTCCTTTTTCTTTGTAGCATTTTATGTTAGGGTGATTTTTAATTTCAAAATAAGATAATTATATATCAGGATTTGTAGCCTACAAAAAGTGTTTTACTGATTCCATTATAACGTAGTTTACGTATGCCATCAAAAGTCACCAACACCATTCAATGTAAATTATGCGCTGTCAAAATATCTCCAGCGTTGTCGAATTTATCCCGTAAATACCTACTACTTAAACAGGCTTTACGACATAAATCTCCATATTGAATTAGCTTAATTTTTGTTCATGCTACGCTATCTTACGCTACGCTACGCTGTTTAATGACCCCCGTTTTTTGGGATCTGGCATTGTGTTCACCGATATGGAAAATGTTTGCTATGCAGGCGTTATCATGGACTTGAGATTCGGATTTTCTGTTTTGCGCTTGACTTTGACTTGATGTAACCATTCCATGTGCATTAGTCAATATGTAGAGGCTCCCGTGTGGGAAATCCGATTTTCCTTTTTAATTTTATCTGATGTATTGAAAGGCAAGTGCCCTTATGAATAGGGGTTTTATGGATAGGCCAAAACTTCTCCCGATAGCTGGATGTTCTGTGCACTTGTATGGGAATTTATATATGTGTTATATTGTCTAGCAACTTCATGCACTGCATAAACCACTCACAAAGTAATTTGTATTGGTATATGTCTTTAAATAAACAAATAAAATAAATAAATAAATTTCACCGTTGGACCGGTCTTGTGCAAGCTTTACGATATACAAACAATATCCCTGCTGTTAAATCGAAGCTACAATTACAAGCTTACACTATCCAACTACCACCTTTAGGGTCAGATCAAAGAAACTGAGGTTTTACTATAGCTTACATTTCGCCAATCTTCAGAGCTTAACTAAAAATGACTCGTGTTCTACTGTGCATCTGCTTATATATCGTTTATATTGTTCGAGGAGGTGGAGCTTAAGGAGGTGCATAAACATGGTCTCGGATGACTGATGGGAGAAAGGTAAAGACCTGAGACGGGATTAGGACTGCTTGGTTCTTCGGTATTCTGGATGATGAGGCCGAATAACAAAAGTGTTATGAACTTAGCGTTTTCATTTTTTTGTTTCTTTCATAAATGTATAATCGACAAATGGTGATAGTCCCGTAGTTCTTCCCCCGTTTGTTCATAAATTTGACCGTTACAAAATGAATATGTTGCAAACAAGCATTTTTCACTTAAGATAAAAAGGTTCAGTTCCCGATTCTCGTATTTTAATACATCTGAAATAATGTTTGGAGTTACCGAAATGGGTACCGTAGAAAACAGGGAATTAACTACGGAACTATCAGGTTTTAATATAAAATATTTTGTTAGAGGATATGTTAGTTTAAAATTTGAATATTTCATCCTTAGGTATTCCCTAAAAGAACCTTTTCGATTTCAAAGGAACTTTGTATGTGTCTTGCTAGAGAAATCCATGGATTGCAAAAGTTTTACATAGCTAGCCCAAGTACGAATCCCGGACATCCACTGGACAACCTATATCTCGAGAACTGGGGATTCGTCGGATTTCCATTGGCTTATAGCGTGCTATTTTTGATTTGTCGTTTTTGGTATTGCTTTAATGGATTTTTTCATCATGTTGCAGAGGGCTACGTGTCTCTGCCGAGATTCACCACCAAGAAGCCGGGCGGTAAGTCAGCCTTCTCGACGATAGCGGCGAAGTTCCGCAAGGTGAAGATGCGCAGAGGCAAAGAGAAGCTGAACGCAGTGTCCACGCTCTGCCGTCAGAGCTTGGTGGTAAACATAAGCGAGGGGGTTGGTGGAAGCGGCGTCGGAAGCGAGGAGGGTTCATCCAACAACAACAACGGGGAGATCTGCGCTTCCGCGGCGGAGCAGGTCAGCTCTAGGAACACCCCTTCTTCCCTATCGAAGAGCAGCTCGTGGATCAGAAGGTCGTTATTTAAGAAGTAGATAGTGGTTCATATTATTCCCGTTTACGTCGTTTTTACTAACTTTTGTGTACCATTCTGTTACTTATTTATACAAGACAATATAATTAGTGTTGGATAATGTGGAGTTTTTGTTTGTTGGCGAATTTATGCTCCGATGGGGGCGCTGCTGAGAGCGAGCAAACGTATCCGTAAGGAAGTTTATTCGGGACTCCGTTTGCAGTTTTTCTTATCGTAAAGTAGGTCTTATAAGTGCATAAAAATATCCGTCTTAGTTAATTATTCAAACTCACGACTTTTAAAATACGTCTTTATTCATCGTGTCTTGGTCGCTTGGGTGTTTTAATGGCTGATCTAACTGGTCAGCGCCGTGCGCAACTGGTGGCCTAACCACTTGGCGTTTAATCGGCCGGCATATAAGGAAAACAAACTGTAATCCATGTTTTAATAAACATTTATTTAAAATTATGGTTATACAAAACGCTTCTCAGCCTTCAATACATTTTATAAAATTGCACTCCTATTTTGAACAACCACAAACCAAAGAAACGCATTGTTTATTATTCTGGACCCGTTCAGTATGATCAAACATGTTTTGCTCAACGCATAGATAACTTTTTTAAACATAGAAAGAGCTTAGACCTCCAACTAGGTATCTTTTTTAAAGAAAGTAAAATGAGCAGATCACGTTTTAATCAAAAATGTGGCGGATCCGCTGGGTTACCTACCTAAAACACCTGCTGCAGGTGTACAATCAATTTAAAGAGTCCAAAGGCACAGATACATTCTTATGTAACTCTAAGGACAACTTTGATATCTTCAATGCCTGTAACAGATTTATGGAGTACTAAGAATATTTTTTTCTGCCAAGTCGTAGATAAAAGAAGCTGCTGATATTGATTTAATTTCAATTTTACCACTGGCACAGGAAGTTAAGTAACTGTAAATTCAAATGTGGTTCTCTACATTCCAAGACATCACATCTAACTGTATGTGGAGAATATTGGAAAACATATAGCTGGATGTCTAGCTCTTGGTATAAAAAGGTATGTTGCTTGTTCAGGTTGCATTGAAGTGTTTAAAAAAGGAATCTTTATGAGTGTAGTTTTTCCAAGTGGAATATCTGTATATAGCATAAAAATGATTCAGAGTTGAAAAAATGATTTCGATATATTTAATAAAAAAATTGAGAACTTTTTGGATGTTCCCGTTAATTTGGCTCAATGGAGAACATACCACTTTTTTGACTTGATCAACCTTACTTTGAAGAAATAATTTAAAATAAGAAGGAAGTTGATTTAGAAATAGGATGCAGGGTAAGAAGTGTTTTAGGATAAGCCGTATTGCTTAAGCATTAAGAAGAAACATATTCCATTTTTGATTATTAATGAGATTTTTTTTTGTAGATATATTTATGTGCCTACTTGTTCTCTTTCATTTCATTTCCTCCGGAGCAAAATAAAAAAAAATAGTTTTGAGTTATGTTATTTTGGTAAAGAGATAACGGAAACAAACCCTGTTTCGCATTATTTTATGTCTTTATCTTTTGATGAACTTTTAGTTTTAATTTAATTTGAAAAATTAAAACGTATGTTGCACGCTAGATATAGAAATAAGCACTAAGCAAACGAAAAATTCTAAATGACAACAATATACTTTCATCTGACCGCCTCCATGCCGTTTCTATCGAATTAAATGTTCTAAGGTTCAGGCAATCAAGCAGCATATTTTGTTTGTCTCAGATATTAACCAATTATTTTGTAACGGGATCTCGTTATATTGTACCCCTTTTCTCAATAAACTAAAATTTATGAACACAAAGTAGATCACGAAATATTTTGTATTATGGGGCATGCGCCAGAAAAGTCAGACGCTCCTTCCAAAATCAATTTACTATTAAATAGCAACTGTTAAATTTTTTGTATTTGATGTGGGATGAGTTTTTACATTCACACCAAGTCTGTAGTCTATTAAGATTCGCGATATCCCTTCGATAAGAATGAAGGCAAATAACAAGTTACCTAAATGGCACTTCATTTTTTTTTATTTGCAATAATAAAGTGTTCTGGCATCAATAAAAGGTTTAAAAATGTATCTAACATTCCAATACTTTTTCTATTTACAGGTTTCTTTCCTTACATTTGCTTTTGTAATATTCAGATTCAAGACAAATTTTTAAAATTGTTATTGTGAAAGCGTGTATTTCTGTTGCAGATTGCACAACACATAACAAAAGTCAAAGTCAAATGATTTTTTTATGTCAAATAAAAATTTTTGATGTTCAACGTTTGGAATATATTGGGTTGTTCGGAAAGTCATTTCGTTTTTTTGGGGACCATGAAAGACAGTTTTGGTTCTGGTCCAACACCTTTTGCCATCTTTCTGGCAGTAATATAATTTCCCTCTCATAAAAGTTTTGGTCCTTGCTGGCAAAAAACTGGTTCAGGTGGTTCTTGACATCTTCATTTGAGGTAAAGGTTTTGCCATCCAAAAAATTTTGCAGGGACCGGAACAAATAGTAGTCGGAAGGCGCCAGATCTGGAGAATATGGTGGATGTTGCAGTACGTCCCGTTCAAGCTGTAAAAGTTTTTGGCGAGTGACCAAACTTGTGCGAGGTCTCGCATTATCCTGGTGGAACACTACACCCTTCCTGTTGATTAATTCGGGCCTCTTCTCTTTAAGTGAATCATTCAATTTGTCCAGTTGATGACAATAGACTTCTGAATTAATCGTTGTATTGTCCGGCAAAAGCTCAAAAAAAACGATTCCTTTGACATCCCACCAAACGGAGAGCATCACCTTTTTTTGGTGAATGTTGGTTTTTGACACGCTTTGAACCGGTTCATCTTTTCTGCTCCATGACCTCTTGCGTTTAACATTGTTGTACACAACCCATTTTTCGTCCCCAGTAATAATCCGCTTCAAAAATGGATCATTTTCTTGACGTTTGAGGAGCGAATCACACACGTCAACGCGACGACACAAATTTCGCTCCGTAAGGACGTGGGGCACCCACACATCGAGCTTCGAGGTTAAGCCCATGCCTTTCAAATGGCCATAAAGAGTCGAATTCGACAAATTTAATCTCTCACCGATCTCTCGTGTGGTTATTCGCCGATTTGCATCAACTAATGCCTTTATCGCATCTTTGTCAGCTTCGACCGGCCTTCCAGACCGTGCTGCATCTTGGACATCAAAATTGCCGGATCGAAATTTTGCAAACCAGTTCTGGCACTGGCGTACTGTTAACACGCCTTCTCCATACACATCCGTCAATTTTTTTCTCGCTTGGACAGCATTTTTCTGAAGTAAAAAAGTAAATTATGACGAAAATGCTGCTTATTGCTCTCCATATTTAAAAGGGCACCAACCAAAAACTACTGAGTAGAATTAATAGAACTTTTTTACACACAAGCCTTGCAATATCAGCTCTCAAGACATATAATGGTTATGCGGCTTAAGTGTGAAGTTGGTTTCGAAAAAACGTAATTACAACACCGTGTCTTTATCACATTTGATAAAGACACGGTGTTGTCGAAACAATTGTCATGTCATAATATATAATTTCGTAATAATCTGAACTTTTAGTTCTTATTAATTTTTTTTAAATATATTTTTTTTACATTTTATATCCTAATTTCCAAGTTTTATGAGAATATGGATATGAATAAAGTTTCTAATAAGCCCTGCTATAAGAATTTGTTTTCTTACATGTCATTGAGTGAGTTTTTCTTTAAATTCAGTTAAGAATGATAGGGGTAGCCTATTTTACTTTCCTTCAATTCAAGCAGTAGATTTGACCTTTGTTTATGAAGTCTTCTAAAAAATTGAGCAGGTTTGCTTTGTTTACATCGAAAAATAAAATCGATTTAAACATCGATACGTCTAATTGACTCCAAACACGAACGGAAAGAAAGTATCTCGCGTGCTTAGACGTCGAAACTAAATGAAAATGCTCACACCTCGTCGGAAACATAACGAGACCGACCGTAATTATTAACATTCGAAAAATTTGATCCTCTGACGCGCGGCGATCGATATCAAACGAGCTCCCATCTACATAATCGATCAAAAATTACGATTTTAGTCTAATAGTGAGCCGATAATAGCAGCTAGTTACGGAATCGGGCCGATTTTTCGGCATTTTATTGGAAAAATAGCCGCTGGAAAGCACGCGAACGTTCGTTTCATCCAAAAAACGCGAGCGGTCGCGTTAAAAGTCGATTTAAGCGGCCCGTTTTTTTCCACTGTCGCACAGGAAGCTATACGTATGTAAGAGTCGGCTTTTTCTTCCTGTCCCTTTTTTTCCCGAACCTCCGATCTAATGTCCCATTAACATAAAAAATAATTAATTCGTTGGGCCACAATGTACCTAATTGCCGTGGATATTTATCCTAGACGTTAAAGATCCGCGGGTCCAATAAACGAGCGAGGCCGTGCCCGGGACGCATATGGCGGCTCGAAAGGGCTGCAACGTCACAACCCCTTCCGGTCCGTTTGGGAATTACGCGGGGGTTTTGGTAACAAACGCGACGTGACGTATCGGGGGAATTTATAATCAGAAAATCTCTCTACTATGTCCTTTTGGAAAAGTTTTTGAGCCTGTTTTGGTGGAACCTTGTTCTTTCAAATCAAGAATAACATTGACAACAGGCAATATATGTTTTCTAATTAAATGTCAATTATTGAGGCCATTTTAAAAAGAATACTTCATACAGGGTGGTAAAATTTTCAAAAACAAAATATTTTTTTTTTGGCACACATGTGCTATGTATCAAGAGATATTATATGGTGTACATTTTTTAAAAATACACGGGCGTATGGAATTTCACATGTCTATTTTGGCAGACATTGATGGTACGCCACTGACTTCTCTTAAAATAAATATTATTCGTACAATCCCCAATCGTTTCTAAAGAAATTTAATAGCTTAATTTTTTTCAATCTGATGTAAGGTTTTCGCTTACAAAAGTAAAATGCTTTTCTCTAAAAGGTCCTAACAATACCCAAATAACACACAGTATCCCCAGTATATCCGGTCAATATCCTACTTAAGTCGCATATCCCGGGACGTGTCAAGCATTTACTGTACACGATATACCACAGATATC